AGTTGACTAATAATTCTCTTTCAACCTCAGGCACTAGGGCCAGCGTAAAGTCATCCACGAAGTTTGCCAAGATTTGAGACTTGATGGTTGTTCGGGGTTGATACTCGATTTTTACCCGCTGAGTTCTACGACCCATTTGGCCAATCGCCTTGAAAGTTCGGGTTTATGAAAAATATTTCGAAGAGCATAAGTTGTTACAACACATATGGGATGACATTGAAAGTAAGATTTTATTTTCCTAGAGGCGCTTATCAAAGCGAGTGCTAATTTTTCTAGATGAGGATACCTAGTTTCGACTTTACCTAGGGTCTGACTAACATAATAGATAGGGAATTGTGTACCTTGTTCTTCTCGGACTAGGACTCCACTTACCGCTATCTCAGATACTACCAGATATAAGTAAATTTGTTCGTCTACCCTTGGCATGTGAAGCAGCGACAGGCTCGACAAGTACCGGTTAAACTCCTCCAAGGCATGTTAGCATTTTGAAGTTTACATGAAGTTATTCTTCTTATTCAGCAATGAAAGAACGGATGGCTCTTATCAGAGGACCTCGAGATGAATCGCCCAAGGGCGGCTATGCGCCATATTAACCTCTACACGGCCTTCACGTTGTCTACTTTCGTGATATCCTCGATAGACTTCATTTTGTCAAGTTGATCTCGATTCCTCGATTGGACACCATGAAGCCGAGAAATTTGTCAGAGCCGACCCCAAACGCGCATTTTTCTGGGTTGAGCTTCATGTTGTATTTCTTTAGTATACTGAAAGTTTCCTACAAATGCTTCAAATGGTCCTCTGCTCGCAGGGACTTAACTAGATGTCATCAATATAAACTTCTATAGATTTCCCTATTTGTTATTTGAACATTCGGTTTACTAGGCGTTGATAGGTTTCACCAGCATTTTTTAGTCCGAATGGCATTACATTATAGTGTTAGGTACCATATTTGGTGATGAACGAGGTCTTTTCATGGTCTTCCGGGTTCATTCGTATTTGATTGTACCCGGAATAGGCGTCGAGAAAACTGAGGATCTCGTGGCCGGCCTTGGCATCAATCATGTGATCGATATTAGGCAAAGTAAAAGTGGGACATGCTTTATTTAGGTCTTTGTAATATACACACATTCTAAGTTTGTTTCCCTTCTTAGGGACTACTACTACGTTCGCTAATCATTCGGGATATTTTACTTCCCGGATAGACCTTATTTTGAGAAGTTTGGTTACCTCGTCTTTGATGAAAGCGTTTTGACCTCAGACTGGAGCTTTCTTTTTTGCCCTTACTAGTTTTGGGGCTTTTATTGGCAAAAACGGTTTTTGTTTTCTAGCCAGCAATTTTCGGATTAGCCTTCGTCATCGGACAAAATTTCGGGTCCAAGATCAGTTTATGGGTGGTAATTTCTGGTGGGATCCCTGTCATATCGAGATGGGAACAAGAAAAGCAATCCATGTTAGTTTTAAGGAATTGAATAAGTTTTCACCTGAACTCGGGGCCTAGCCCCGTGCCCAGGTATACCATTCGCTTGGGCTGATGTTCAACTGGTATCATTTGTTCTATCTCTTCGACTATTGACTTGGTGGCATCGAAATCATCGAGGACTATGAAGGATTGAGGAACCCCCGTAGTCATCATCCTTATTAGTCCCTTGTTTCCCTAATTGGGTCGAGGTCGGTGTTTGTGGTTGCTATTTGACCTTCTGCTTCCCTTCGAACTTGACCCTTTCGTTGATGAGAGCATCGATATCGGTATCACTTCATCGATGGCAAACATTTCCTTGACGGCGGGTTGCTCTCCATAGACTGTTTTGACTCCCTGCGGGGTTGGGAACTTTAGAACCCGGTGAAGGGTCGAAGGCACTACCCTCATGTTATGTATCCACGGTCTCCCGAATAGGGCATTATACCTCATATCGCCCTTGATCACATGGAATTTTGTTTCTTGGATGGTCCCAGCCATGTTTACTAGCAAACTTATCTCGCCTTTGGTGGTTTCACATGCCATATTGAAGCCGTTTAGAACTCGGGTTGCGGGTACAACCTGATCCTGTAGGCCGAGATGTTTTACGACCCTCGATCGAACTATGTTGGCCGAGCTACCTGGATCAATCAAAACACGTTTAACTTAAGTCTTATTCATAAGTACTGATATTACTAGTGCATCGTTATGGGGTTGTTCGATCCCTTCTACATCCTCGTTATTGAAATACAAGGTTCCTTCCGTTATGTAATCCTGAGTTCGCTTCTCCCTTGTGATCGACACCTTGGTGCATTTTAATACTGGTCCTTGAGGAGTATCGACCCCTCCAACGATCATGTGAAATCATGTGCAGTGGTCCTTTTTACTCGTTATGTCTACTAAAATCTCTGTTTTTGAAGTGATTCTTAGCCCGATCACTTCAGAATTCCCGAAGGTGCCCCTCATTGAACAACCGGGCTACTTCTTCCCTTAGCTGTCTGCAATCTTTTATTTTATGGCCATGAGTGCCATGATACTTGCATATTTGGTTGGAATTTCTCATGGCCGGATTGGTCTGCAGAGGTCAAGGCCATCTAATATCCTTGACACATTCGATGGCTGATACGATGGCGGATGCATCTACGTTGAAGTTATATTACGACAATCGTGGCGCTTCTTTGGGCCCAACATCCATGTCGAAACCACCCTTGCTCATGAGTCCCCGTGAACTTTGACCTTGATAATTTCTCCCCTCATTCCATGCAAAGTTTTTCCTAGACCCGCTGCCTCTACGGTCTCTATTATACGGTTGATATCGATCTCTATTAGACCTTGGTTCTCGATCGATATCCCTCTTGATTCTATCCACGGGCTTGTTAGGATAAACGAACCCAGAAGGAGTCCCCAGTTGATCATCTTCGACCCTGATCTTCGACTGATACCGATTATGCACATTGGCCCAAGTGACAGTTGGATACTCGATCAAATTTTGCTTCAACTGCTGTGAAGCTATGGAACTCCGGACGTTGAGGTCTTGAGTGAAATCTTGAACAACCCAATCATCGGTGACCATAGAAAATCCATTTGTTCTATTTGGAATCGAGATATGAATTCCCTAAGCATCTCGATGTCCTTTTTCCTTACCTTGAAAAGGTCCGACTTTCTTGTTGAGACCTTAATGGCTCTGGTGTGTGCCTTTACAAAAGAATCTACAAGCATAACAAATGAATCAATAGAATTAGGCGGTAAATTATGATACCATATCATAGCACCCTTTGATAGGTTTCCCCGAATTTCTTTAACAACACGGATTCAATCTCATCCTCTTCCAAGTCATTTCCTTTGATGGCGCACGTGTATGAGGTGATGTGTTTGTTTGGATCAGTCATCCTGTTATACTTAAGGATCTCGGGCATATAGAACTTCTTAGGGATTGGCTTCGGAGCCGCACTTGGGGGGAAAGGTTTTTGTACAAACTTTTTAGAATCTAGTCCGTTCAATATCGGTGGTGCCCCTGTGATTTGGTCGACCCTGGAATTATAAGTTTCCATCTTCTTATGATTTTCCTTGATCTTCTTTTCCCCTGTCTCAATTCGCTTTGTCAGTTCCTCGAGCATCTTTAAGATAGCAGGATTGGTCTTCGATTCCTCTGATTTTCTCAAAGCCAATTCAACCCCGTATACAACTTCTTGGGATGGCTTGAGTTCGACCCTGCTTGGCGTATGGTTCTGATTTTGGAGCTGAGCTATTGCTGCCTGTTGGGCTTGCAACATTTCAAAGATTACCCGCAGACTGATCTCGCCATCTTCACCGCCATATGCATTCTGACTAGCTGATCGGGTACCCCCACGAACGCTGCTTTCGGGATCGACGACCAAATTTCCATTGATGGCTACATGCGAACTGACGTCGATTGGGTCTATAGCCAAAACTCCATTGAGGCCAGCAGGGGCACAACGTTCCCTAGTGCAAAGTTCTCATTCTCGCCGTGGTGGCTGAGACCATTGTCAATGTGTTAAGGTGCTGACGGAGAGTTTGACATTTTCAAATCTTGTAATCAAAGACACTTCAAAGAACAAGCATAAAATAATGTGTGTTACGAAAATTAGTATCAGGCAATCACTATTATCCTTAGTCCCACAGTGGGCGCCAACCTGTTTACCCTAAAAATGGATAACAATTAAATTTATACTGTGGTTTTAAGCATACGTGATTTTACTTTGCACAAACTGAGCAAAATGTAGATTGATATTGAAATTGACAGTAAATAAAAATTTAAGCAATACAAATGAATCAAGCAGCCTTGGCCCTCGAATTTTATCACCCTAGAACCAAGTGAGGATTCAGTTGATACAAGAACAAAGTAAAAGAATATTGAGAGCATAGGAGAAAAACAGTGTATTGCTCTATGTAACGTGAAAATGATGTGTTTTACAAATGATCAGATCCTTTTATATAGTAGGGGAGTCCTATTCTTGGTATAATTCTAAATACAGTAAGAAATCCCATGATTGGCTGATTAATCATCATCTTCTCGATACGTGCCAGGATTTCCGTTGCGATCCTCACCCGATCGCGGATATCTCGGCTTTCCGTTATTTGACTTGCCAGGCTCCCCTCGATCTTGCTCGATCTTTACTCCGCTTGATCTCGATCCAGGTTGGTCTCGATCTCGATTGGTCCCTGAGTCACGAGCTCAGCCATCTACTTTGTGTCTCGGTTCGGTATGACATGGGGTCGAACCTTGTCCTGTCACTCCCGGTCTCGATTATTCATAAAAAGGGGCAAACCCGATTTTTACTGTATACAAAAAGGTAGCGACAAAACAACTAAAAATTCAAGGTGGAGTTAAACAGAAAAAGGGTAAATGGAGAAATATGATTATAAAATAATAAGTAATAAGTAAGTGCGTAACATGATAGGGAAATGATATAACGATCCATCATATCAAATTTATTGTTACATAAAATTAAACTTTTTTGTTATTACATCATAACGGATTTAACAATGCAGTACAATAATAATTAAAAATAATTCAATACAATACAGAATAGTACAATACAATACAATATATTAATACAATACAATGGGTAAGAACCATCCAAGCAAGCTGGAAGAGTAACTTACAAATGCTTCATGTGATATTGATAAGTTAATAAACCAAGTAGAGTATCAAATGCGGCCTAGGATTCGTCATCTTTGGTCTCTAGCTTCATGCAATCAATGAACGCTTTTCCATCAAGTTTTCGTGCAAAAAAATCCTGTAAATATTTTTCTACACGAACACTTCGGAATTTTGCAGGATTATGTGGTCCAATGAGGCTGTGTGCAGGACCTAACTCAGAGTCGAGATTAAAGATATAGAATGTTGCAAGAGATAGTCTCTCTTTGTTTGAGTTTACAACTGCTCTGTGCTCAATGCTCCTATAAACACCATTGCTCACTATCTGCCAAGTCAATTAACACATTTACCTGAATTAAATCCCTTTTCAAGAAACTTTAGATGTTTCAATAGCAGAAGTAAGATACAACAACATATTCAGTATGGTCTAGGAAGATAGAGAGGTTATTTCCGATATATATATGAAATGAGATGACACGAAAAATAAAGCAAGACTTAACATATAACAAGGAAAATCTTATTTACCTCCATCATATCGCCAACGTTAACAATCAAAGCATTTGGGAGGGGTTTTATAGGAACCCAAATACCGTCTTTTCGAATTTGGAGACCATCAGTTTCATTAAGCTGGAGAAGGATGGTGAGGGCATCAGCATCAGAATGAGGACTTAAGCCAATGATTTTGTCTGGCTTAGGGCAAGGAGGATAATAATTCATCCTTATTAACTGCATACCATCTGTGAACAGATTTTTCATTTCCTTTTCATCCATCTTTAAAGCCTTTGCCAATTGACATAAAATGCTTATTGTTAGGCTCTTGAATTCTTGGCAGTGTGCTTCCATGATGTCCCTAAAGTATCCAATCATATCATACAAACATTAAATGAGTAAGTGAGTGAAGATCAAGGCACATGCTAGAATATACATCTAAGCTTAATATACACATGTTAGAAGATCAAGGCACATATATATATATAGTTAGCACTAATCCAATCATATATATATTTATATTCAGGTGTCTTAATCTTAACGCAACAATTTAATTCATATGTGTAATCAAATTCAAACATCTTAATCTTAAGAAAAACAAACAGTGCCTTACTATATAGCAGCTAGCTGTTAACAAAAATTTATTGTCCAAAAGAATTAAATGGTCATTGGAGAAACAAAATACGACTAGCAAATAGTATGTATACCTTGTGTATCTTTTCATGTTTCCTTTTTCTTTTCATTCATATTCTCTTGTAACTCTTTTTTGTGTTATAACTCTGATTTTTTTGTGTGTGTGAGAGAGAGAGGTACCTAAGTGAGACATGAAGCTTTGGGAATAAGTGAGGTTTTCTCAAACGGGTAGGGAGAGTGGTCATATAAAACAAGTCTGCCCAGTCTAGTTTTTGCTCTTCAGAGAAAACAAAGGCTTGCCCATATCCTTCAACATCCCCTTCTTCCTGCTCAAACTTCTTCTTCTCTTCCAATGGTAGATCGAAAAATGCTCGGATTTCTAACTTCACCTTCTCCACTAATGATGAACTCACTCCATGATTCACCAACTGCAAGAAACTAGTATTAAAAAGATTGTTAAATTTTGTTGTAACATCAACATATTCTTTGGCCAAAAATTGAGGTGTTTGACCAAACTTTTGGAAGGAAAAAAAGTGTTTTTGAGAAGAAGCCAAAGCAGTTTTGGAGAAACAGAAAAAAGTAGCTTTTCTCCAAAAAACACTTTTTTAAAAAACAGAAAAATACATTTAGAAGCAATTTTTAAAGTTTGGCCAAACATTAATTGTTGCTCAGAAGTGCTTTTCAAACTAATTAGCCAAACATAAACTGTTCTCACCAAAAATACTTTTGAAAAAAAGCACTTCTCAAAATAAGTTGATTTTTGCAGCTTGGCCAAACGGGCTATAAGAAACAAACCTTGTAACCATTTCTCCACAACTTAAAATCTTAAAACGAACAACATTTGATCATTGAAATATACATATACCTGAAAAAATCCCCAGTCTACGCAAGCAAAATGAAGCCTCTCAAGCTCTGAACCATCATTTCCAATGGCCAGCAGTTTTTCCATGTCAATGACCGGAACTTGAGGTAAAATGGATGATGTCATAGGCATTTCAATATCATCACGAATATATCGCGGCGGAACGGCTACTTGTTGCTTTATCAGCTCTTGAACGCTAGGAACTTTCAATGTGCTACCTATCTTTCTCGAGCTTGCAGCTTCTTCCATCGATTAATGAGGTTTTTTCTAAGAGAACTTGTCTTAGATAGCAAACGTATATATAGAGATCTGAAATGATTGGGGTGCGTGTAAAATACTATATAAAAACGTGGGTGTGTGTATATATATATGATGTCCAACGTCAGTTTTTGCCAGCATTAATCGACACTCCATTGACGTTCTATTTTTTAGGAGGTAACAAATATTATTATATGCAGTACAAAGTAGTGCTAGGCCATTTTAAGGTTGTATTGTGGTCCGGGCCTGGCCCGGGACCGGCCCAGGACCGCAGGCCTAACGGGCTGGTTCAAGCGGGTCTGGGCTTTAGTGGTGCAAAAGCCCATGGTGGGCCGGTTCAACACAAATAGCCCGTGAGCCCGGGACCAGCAGGAGGGCCTGGGCCGGTTCAACCGGGCCCAACGGGCCTAACGGGCTCCAATGGCTAATTTTTTTAAAAAAAAAATTAAAAAAAGACCAACGGTCAGATTTTTAAAATCTAGTTGTTGGCCTTCAAAATTTATCCGTTGGGCACTTTAAAAAATAGTCATTTGGCCCTCAAACTTTGTTTTAACCCCAAACTTTTTATAATTACACTTTTTCTCAATTCTCAACTATAAATACCCCCTCATTCTTTCATTTTTACTCACAAATTCATCAATCTCTC